CAAATTGGGTGGCCACAGGTATTCTAAGACATTCTGTGAAGTTTTTAAATTTTAGATTTTTTTTATTTTTTATTTTTTTTGGCATTTAAAAAAAATTAAATTTCTCTCAAAGTGGGTGGCAATAGGTATTCTAAGCCATTTTGTGAAATTTTGAAATTTTTGATTTATTTATTTATTTTATTTTTTTCGGCACCTAAAAAAATTTAAATTTCGCTCAAAATGGGTAACCACAGATTCTAAACCATTCTGTAAAGTTTTGAAATTTTTTATTTTTTGCTTTTTTTTCCCACCTCAAAGATCGTGACTTCCAGATGAACATGTGTTTTGAAGAAAGAGTTCTCTCAGAAATGATTCTCATTTTTTATCTAGAAATAGAAAATCTACTTTTTTTTTGTTCTGATTTCTGGTTCAGAATCGGTTCTGGAACAAAAAGTTGTTCCATAAATAGAAAAATAGAATTGCGTTACCAAACGGGTTTCTGGTCCAAAGCTATTTCTTGGAACAGAAAACCAGTTCTGGACAGAACCAGAATGGTTATCATGCGCTATCTTAATTTCTGAGTCGGGCCCATAGCTTCTAGGTAAACCAGATCGGGATTCGTCGGTGGTGTAACGTTTGCTCGTAACCTTGAGACCATTCTCGATTTTCCAGTTATATATTAAATATTTTGCTTTAGTCCAACAAAACATAATCAACTGAATCATTTATAGTCTCCGTCATATTCAACTGTACTGATTTTTTTTCTTACAAAAACACAGTGAATAAAGAAATCAACCAAAAAAGAAGCAATGAATAAGAAATCACAATTTTACTTAAAGTACAATATATCGTGTTTTCCTTTTATTTACAAAAAATTACGCAGAGCAAAGAAATCCTACTCCTTTAAATAGCGTATTTATATTTCGTTTCGTTGTTTTTACATTTCGAATGCATTTTTAAATCCTTCGTGATCCAGTAATGCCACTTAATTCGACATTCGGATATTTCAAGAATATCGATAAGGATAATTCAGTTTTAGTTTGTTGAACCACAACTTTTATATCTTTATCCCATAATTCAAATATATTGTAAACAATCGATGAAAGATATGGTCTAGTTCTTACTACAGTCGAACCACCCTTCTCTGGCCACAGGACCTCTTGGTGATTTCCAGCAAAATGCCACATGCATCACCGAGATGCACGGAAACGGAACAACCTCATAAAGATGCAAGCAAAGATGAGGTTAGGGTTTCTTTTCGTTCTTTTTTGAGGACCGCGAGTAATGTATATTGCAAAAGGCGTGACTTTCACTTTCACTGAAAATCTGAGAGTGAGCTGATTTTTTGTTTAGATATATTGATCCGGTCCAGGTGGACAGTTCCACACTTGGAATTGGGAACTTGAACGGTACTCACCGGTTTTAGTAAATTGGAACCGGGAATCGGACCGGTCTCCATGGAAAATGCCGGTTCAGTCCGATTGTGGGCAGTTCGAGTTGTTTCCGATTCCTTTGCACACCCCTAATATAAAGAGGGTTTTGAGCATTAATGATAAGCATAATCAAATTGGGTTTTTTGGTCAATTAAATTCTAGAAACCTACCTATGGAAGCTTAAGAGACTAATTTGCTAGAGTCAACTACTATATATATAAAAAAGAGTTTTGAAGATTAACGATGATCACTTTTTCTTAGTAAATTAAATTCTAGAAACCAATCTATGGAAGCAATCTAATTTAATAAAGGCGAGTGCTTCAAACATTATTATTATTTTTTTAAAGTCTTCAAAAACAATATTTTATCTTACATCTAAATTCCATTTGTTTCCCTTTTGTGGATTGTAATTTTAATCCTGCAAAGGCTATACAAGGCGACAACAAAAGTTACCCACAAAACATCATTTACCATTATAACATATGTAATATTTTTTTAAAATAATTAGGATTAATACCACAAAACATCCCAAATTAATACACATGTGACAAATTTACCCCAAACTAATTTTTTGATCACAAAAAATCTCAAACTGGTACACCTTTGATAAATTTACTTTAAACTAATTTTTTTACCACAAAAAATCCTGTACACCTATCACAAATTTACTCTCTGTTAGTTTTTATTAAATTGGATTAATACCATGAAAATTTTCAAAATAGTATACCCGTGACAAACAAAGGGTAAAACCCCAAATCGCTACACCCGTTAATTGCCACATGTTACCCAACTCAATAAATTAACGGTAAAATTTAATGAAAACTAACGAAGGGTAAATTTGTGACAGATGTATCGGTTTGGGGTTTTTGGTAATCAAAAAATTAGTTTGGAGTAAATTTGTCACATGCATACTAACTTGGGATTTTTGTGGCAGTAACACAAATAACTATCTTAGTATCTCAATAACAGCAAAGCATGAAATATCAGTCATAATTAAAATACACATGTGCTCTCTCCCACATATTCAATTCATGCGCAAGTACCAAGAAGTCTTCCGAGATGCCGTTCTCTGACTTTTGGTTTCTTACATTGCCCGTCCTTGTTTGTGCTTTAGACTATACGAGGGTCCTCTCTTGGATATAATTTTCTTAGAGTAAATTAAAAGTAATTTTAGCCTAATCTAACTTACTTTGTTAAACTAAAAGATTAAATAATTTTGTTGAATTAATTGAGCTAAAAAGGCAAAATCGATCAATTTTACTTCACGAGTTCTCCTATTGTGTATAACCCTGTGAGGATCAGGACAACAAATGATATATGTATGATTCATCTGAGGCTTTATCGATTGATTCGGTTATTCCAAATTTGGCTATCGACCTAAGGAAAAGAAAACATTATAAAATTTATTTTTTTATATAACAATTCATTACAAAGAGATAGTTATTGTTTTCTTTATATCAGTTGCTTTTAGATTTATTGATGATATATTTATTTTTACGGAATAATGAAAAAAATCTAAATGTATTCCCGCGCAATGCACATGTGTGAAAACTAGTGAAATTCAAGTTTTACTTTAATTGTGTCGACTTGCTTAACATGACGAATGATGATTCATGAATGAGATTTGCCCGTGTCATTCGAAAGTGGCGCATACAACATATTAGATAGGATGCCGTTATTTCGCGAAAAATAAATGATTTGAAAAATATTGTTTTTAAAATGATTTTTTTTATGGCTTATAAAAATGAATGAATGAATGAAAATTTTTTTTGTTGTCCACAAAAATATTTACATAAATTATTATCGATAATGAATATATTTTATTTACTAATTATTTCAAGCGACACAAATAATTATTTTCGAGAAAATATTTTTCAAATTATTTCTTTTTTCACAAAACAAACTGAGCTTAAAGCTATTATGAGACCTTTCGTGGCGTATAGTATGTTACAAGATATAAGAGTCGTACCTTCTTGCTTGAACTTTATCAACGTTAATGCCGTCTCTTTTGAATCGTCTTCCCTAATGCAATCACGTCTTTGATTTTTCACACGCAACCATAAGTCTTCACCATTTAGACCCACTCAAGTTTTTCTTTCTTCTTTGGATTTTATTTTATTTTATTTTTTGCCCAAAGGCTAACTTAATTTATTAAGGGAAATAATTTTTCAAATCGAACGCTAGTGGATGATGAAGTGTATTGTGTGTTAGGCATCAATTCATTGCATGAGGGTAGAGTAGTCTTGGAACACTTGTTAAGTAATACTTAATAAAGATTTATTGTGATTTTCATTGCATTAATTATGTATAACACGGGAGGCGAAGTATTGAAAATTCTAATTTTTCCTTGAAGGAGTGTTTAGTAAAATCGTTTAGGTTATGTTTGGTCGTCTGGATTTTTAACAAGATAGGATATGACTAGATCTTGCTTTGTCAGTGCATGGTGAATCGCGATAATAAAATCGAATACTTTCATGTCCTATTATATCCATGTTTAGTATGAACAACGTATCAGTATAAATAAATTTGAAAATGCACAAACGGAGATAGCAAATATATCTTACGATTCACTGCTAAAGAAACCACAAATACACAATCGGAGATAATCTTCATCAATTAATCCATGATTACAAAAAAGGAACTCATTGCAATATTCTAGAGCCACCGGTTCGACTGTGATAAGAAATGTAAATGTGCTACTGCAACCTCGACAGGGTAAATCATGCGTCGAATGTCGAATCTAGTAATATAGAAAAAAATATAATCATTCACCTTCTCAATTTCGAAAAGTATAATGCTTCGACTTTCTCACTTACTCCATTTTTATTTACTTATTTTTTCTTTATATTTCCCTCTCTTTTTTATTCATTTTCTTTTGTATTTCCTTTTTATTCCCTTCCATCATTTCTTAATAGAAATTTTAATAAGTAATAAAATATACTAATATGCCTAAAATATGTAATAAATATAAATACAAAACATGTACGATATATATTACAAAATAGAAAGAAATTCAACTATATAAATAAAACCGGTAATAGATAAAAAAAAAATTACGGTTATTTTGAATTTTCTTTTTTTATATTAGAATTCACATATTATTTATACATAGTCATTATTTTAATTTTATAAATTTAATAAGTTTGTTACTTGAAGAAAAAATAGTTATTATACCATAAATATATCCAATCCACCTTTATCCCATCTCTTTCGTCATATATTCTTATGTCTATAATCCTCTTATACCCGACCTCATCCTATCTTAAGGAAGAACCAAACACATGAAACGATAAATTTCATCCTATTCCGATTTATATCGTGCTTAGATGACAACATGCATGATTATTAAGTTTTCCGCGTACGAGGAATACGCGCTTATACGCCACCAAAATGCCAAAACGACTAAAAACAAAAAAAAAATACAAAAAAAAAGACAAAAACAGGGAAAAGTAGAAGACGACGCTCGATGGGGGGACACATAATAAATTCAATAAAATAGAAAAAAGAAAAAAAGAAGTCGTCATACGAAAAAGGCCTGAAAATCTCCTCCCCTCCCCCGTCTCTCTCTCTCTTACTCCGTCTCTCTGCTTGTGTAGATCTGCCGCTGCTCGCTCTTTCAGCCTCGCCTCGCCTCCTCCATCGTCTCGATCCTTCCTTCAATCTCCCTTCAACGCCGGTCTCATTCCAGGTCAGCTTCTCCTCCATCGATCCGCTGCGCTCCTCCCGATCTCGACCCGACTTTCCCTCGAATTTCCGTGCGGTTTTCTCGAGCGATTCGTGGCTTAGCTTGGCTTCGGATCCTCGGGGGGCATGTCCGGGTTTTCCCGGGGTTCGCCCCTCCTGGGGATCGATCGATTCCTCGTTCGTTTCCTGGGACCCGTTGTTCGGTGCAGTTGATGATGCCCTAATTTCCGCGTTTTGTCTGTTCTTGGAAGGGGGGGGGGGGGGGGAGGGTTTCTGAATGGGTTGGTTCGTTGTGGCGGAAATTGCGCATTTTGAGCGAGGTTGTGTTTCCGGGTCGTGTCAAGCCGCGATTTTGTGAGAAACCCAAATGCGGTTTCCTGCGTGGTTGATGGATTTGGTTTTGTTTTGTGCTGCAGGGTTTGGTGGTTGGATTCGATGGAGGGAGCTGGGAGCGATGCTGCCTCGGCGGCGGCGGCGGCGCCGATAGATCAGTGGAGGCACGACGTCTGGAGGCTGTACCAGCATTACCTGGATAAGTCCACCCCCCACGCCACCTACCGGTGGATCGGGACCCTCGTCCTGGTGGCCATCTACGTCATGCGCGTCGTGTACATCCAGGGGTTTTACATTGTCTCGTATGGCCTGGGGATCTATATACTGAATCTCATGATCGGGTTCCTGTCCCCGTTGGTCGATCCCGAGTTGGAAGCCTCGGACGGGCCGATGCTGCCGACGAAAGGGTCCGACGAGTTCAAGCCGTTCATCCGGCGGCTCCCGGAGTTCAAGTTCTGGTAATTGAATATTCCTCCTGTTCTTTTTGGCCCATTTTGCTGAATCCCCTTTTTCTTGCGCTAGGGTTGAATTGTTCATCAGAATGTGTATCTCATTCGATGCTTGCAGTCATTTGAAGTTTCTCTGTAGGTTGGAGGCATTTGCAAGTGCTATTCTGGTTTGTTTGTTAGCTTGTAACTCTTTATTGTTAGGTCGCTTATAATAGTCTTGTGGTGTAGTAGTTCATGGAAGATTGAGTGGCTTAGTGGTAGTTCGCGAAAGTGTTCATCCCCAAATAGAGGCTATGTCGTTGAGGCGTTGGTGAGTGGACCAGGAAGTTGAATACGAAAGCAAAATCTACACAATCTTTTAATGACCTTTAAAAGATTCGGTCTTGTGAGATCCTAGTTAGTTTTTTGTCATTTTCTACAACTTAGTTTGGCTAATCTATGGCTTGCACCGAAGTTACTTCGTGAGACGAGTTTCTTGGAAGTGATACACAAAGTCGGTAGTATGTATCCTCTTGCATTGGTTTGATTTATGCTCGTCTTTTCTTGCTTTTGAATTTATTAATCTGAAGATGTTGTCTCCCTTGTTTTTTCATAATTAGTGGCGCCTAGAATTTAGAACGATGAACATAACAGTATGTTAGATGATGGTTGGTTGAGCTGTTATATGTGATGCCAGGCATGGGAGCTGGTTTACTTGAAAAACGGTGTTAATTTCTATATCATTCCCTATTAACATAATAATACTGCATGCGACTGACAAATCTTTGTCTTGATGCTTAATGTTTGACGTGGACGTGTTGTTTAACTCTGGAAAAGACGTGATTTTAAGAAGCAATTCTTTCATTCCTGCAAATTATTTGTGGTTACACTCTTAGAATTGTTAAACAAAGATGCTGGACTAAAGTAAAGTTATGATTTAACTTGACTTGATAGTCATAATAGCTCTGGGCCAAGTAGGTTATTAAGTTTGTCTGAGCTGTTGCCTCAGGAAGTATGGTGTTTTAAGACTGTTAAACATCAACGAGAGAGTTGCCTTATATGTGAACCTTTTCTCCAGCTATTAAGCTTTTTTTCAATTGGAAAGTGCTTTCTCGGTCATTATGTGTGCACTGTGTTGAGTTGAGTTATCACTTGACTGGTTTCTTTATGTTTTTCAGGCACTCCATAACAAGTGCATTTTTCATAGCATTCCTCATGACCTTCTTCTCCATGTTTGATGTTCCCGTCTTTTGGCCCATATTGCTCTTTTACTGGCTCGTGCTTTTCATCATGACAATGAGACGTCAAATTGCACACATGATCAAATACAAGTATATACCATTCAGCATTGGGAAGCAGGTGAGATCTCTTTGTAGTGTCGGTATATGTATTTTTCTTATGAACTGTGCAGTAGAGATTAGTTTACAAATGGGTTTACAGAAGGGTTGTGAAAAAAACTTACTGGATGCTTGGATATGGTCCATTTGTTTAAATACCAATCCTTCACATGGCTTTGCGAACGAATTTGCACACTAGTTTGTTCTGGTTACTGCAACTTTTACTACTAGCATTATCACCTTTCAAGTAATGGCTGCAATTCTATTTATTTTGCAGAAGTATGGTGGTAAGAAATCTTTTGCTAGTACCAGTGGCTCACGTGGGGATTAAAATGGGGCAGCATAGTATTGCAGTTGGGGAATTTTGGACGGAAGATGGTAGAATGGTTGCTATTTGGATATTCATGATATCTGTTCCTTTTTCGTTTTCACTTCAAGGATCTCGATTGATGTTATATAAATTTGGATACGTAGTTTGGAATGGATAGATCAACTGTACCATCGCCTTTCCAATGTTGGTGGAAAGAGGTGCTTATAGCTGCCAAGGGATGTTCACCGTCCCGAGGAGTCTCCTTCCTGGTACATGATAGATTTCGTCTGCGTTGAATGCCGACACTGTCCTTGTAACCCTTCTATTATGTAGTAAGGAAATTTGACTATCAATGATACTGGAAATTTTTTTCAATGTTCATGACCCGCTACCTGCATTCTTTTTCCTCTATACTTTTTGGGGCTAAAGCAGGTCATGGCATAATGTTGGCACTTCACGCAGCGTCTATTCAACTTCCATGTATCTATGAACAAGCCCTTGTGCTGTTCGGCGGTTATGTACCGAACCTGCTTTGGACCTAAATCAAGAATGGGGGTCAAAATTGTACCACGACCAATGAGAATTCTGATCCAAGTGAAATTACTATACTGGTATATCGAGCAGCTGCACTTTAGAATTTCAAAGCCTTGGGGATAGATGTAAGACTGTAATTTCGCCATGCTGATCTGCTAATATGGTGAGACCTTAATTCACTGGACTTGTCTGTCAAATCAGGGCTATGTTTTCTTGGATCCCTACGACCATGCTTTTGGTGGGTTAAGATTGATTGAGATAAAGGAAAACACGACCCATCAAATTAGGTATCTAGTTATTCCATATGTCAAATAGGGAGCATGCTTGGACATTATATTAGCAGGTGGCCAAAAAGAATGGATCGAGCATGTTGATCTTTTCGATTTGGGGATCCTGACTCTTAGGCTCCGTTCGGTTCACTTCGCTTTGCGGAAAATATTAAATTTCTAGAAAATATTTTTTAGGAAGTCATTTTCTTGGAAAATGACATAATTTTTCGGTGTTCGGCTGAAATTTGAAAAAGTTTTGAAAAATATTTTCCATTGTTCGATATGAAAAAGATTTTCTTCATTGCACTACTTTTTATAAATTTTTTTTTATTTTTTAAAAATATTTTTAATTTGTTTTTCCTTCTCCTTCTTCTTCCTCAGTCGGTCGCCGGCCAGCTCGAGCCTCGCCACAGGCCGGCGAAGCTCGAGCTCGCCAGATTTCGGCAAGGTCAAGCCTTGCTGGCATGTGGCGAGGCTTTGGCTTGCCTCATCTGGCGTGGCCAAGCTTGCCCGAGGCCGGTCAGGTGAGCTCGGGCCTCGCCAGATCCGGCTAGCTGTGGCGACCTCGAGTGAGGCTCGAGCCTCTCCCAGCTCGCCGGATCTGGCGAGGCCCGAGCTTGCCCGACCGCCGTGGCCGGGGACTGGCCGGAGAAGAAGATAGAAAAGAAAAGATAAAAAAAGAAAATTAAAATATTTAAAATGAATGGTGAAAGAAGGAGGGGAGAAAATATTTTCCTCTTTTCAAAAAGAGGAAAACATTTTCCTCAAAAGTGAAGGTGTTTTGTCCATTTTCTGGAAAATGTTTTCCTTGGGAAGTTATATTCCGTGAAACGAATATCGGAAAACCCGAAAAACGTTTTTTCGGAAGTTATTTTCCGTGAAACGAACGAAGCCTTGATAACTCGCGCTTTGGCATCAAAAGCTAGTCAAGTACATACAAAAACCGTAGAGTCAGAAATAACAGCTGCTGCCTCTAGCTTCTAATTCCGAATGATTATAGCATTCTTTGTCTATATCGAGGAAGAACCATGAAAATTAATCATCTCAAAGGAGTCGCAACTTCCAAAAGTAGAAGCTTGACTAAAAGCAGGCCTAATTAAGGTAAAACTTTGCAAGAAAGCACATTAACCATCAAACATGCCCGAAGCATTCGAAGACATGCTTGAAGCAATATGCAGGAAAAAAAGGACGATAACAAAGCAATTTCCAAGATCTCATTCTGTTCATGACCCGATATGCATCAATAGGGAACATTGTTGCTTCCGTTGTGCCATCCGTCACCAGCAAAATCTTCCAGCCCCGGAACATTTTTCGTTCTCCCTAATAGTACATGGGAGCTTCTTTTTCTTAATATCCACTATTTACATGGTCAACTTGACTTATTATACTTTGAACATACCTAAAATATTTTCTAGCGATTCAAAAGCAAAAGAGAGGATTGAATTGTACGCTTTTCCAAGATAAAATGCTTTCAAAAGTTATGAAATGATCTTCTGCAGGTGTTAAATCTTTACCCTCATGAATTTATGGAAGCTACCTTCTTCAATTCAGTAGAAAATATCATGTTCGGTGTGCTCATGAACAATGGAGCACATATGAGAAGAAAAATGCAGAGTTACACATTTCGGAGAAACCTAAACATAGCTGCTACACAAGGGTGTCCAAATACTCACTGATGGTAGTGTAGTTCAAGTGTGGATACAGTTGTGTCCCCTCCAAACCCCGAGACGACTCTATATCGAAGTACGTTTGATCACCCTTTATGAAGACAGAATATATGAAAATGAACAGCATGTTGTCTGGATACGGAGTCTCTGCATCACGGCAAGCCACGTTACATGTAAAATTATTGAAGAAGTTGCTTCAGTAATAGTATAATTGCCAAACAATGTCTGGAAAGAAAAGCGAACCTTCCTTACATCCTCCAGTCCATAACAAAAATCATTTCCTTGATAACAAATGTACCTTTACTTCATTAGCGGAAGCCCTTTGTCTTTCTTTTTCTTTTTTATTGTTTTACAGTTTTACTTGGGGAGTCGAGGCAAAGTTCTCTCAAGAATGGCATTTACCTTAGACTGCTCATGTATAACCCTGCTAATTCTAGCTGTTCATCATATGCCTGTTTTTATGTACTGGATTGGACTCATCCTAAAGAAAATCAGCTTGTTTGGGACGTACTGTCCTTTAAACGTCTTCTGTACTGTCCAATGTATGATTCCTAAACTTTCACTCACCCGAAGCTGTGCCAGTGCCATTTATCAGGGAGCCTATTCTACTTGGGAGCACTTAGCATAATCCCAAGCCTTTACTAAGATGGAGCAACCTTGTCTCAGAAAGTTTGGCATGAAGCGAATGCTTAGCCTAGACTATGTGAGTCGAATTTCCTTATACAACTATCACACGGTAAGGACACAAAATTGATGGCATTGGATTTGCAGCACCCATAGACAGTGTGTTCATGAGTTTCTACCAAAAAGAATTATAGTTTCTTTCTTGTATGCCTCTTTATCTGTAATTTCTCATTCTCCGGCAGCACCAGTATTGTGGTCGGGACTCTGATGAAATGTTTTCTACACTACTAGTAACCATGCTTAACTCGTAACAAATTCGTACATAAGTTGCACTGTACATAATATGAGAAATAGTACCTCTGATTTTATGTAGAAGCTCTTCTTCTGATACGTACGTCTTCTGGAGCTTCTTTTTGATTTTGGTCTCCCAAATATCGGTTAGCTCATTCATGGAGTAGACATTACCTGGGGGCCTCAAGTACAAAACCTTATTCAGTGTAAGCGGGTCGTCCAATGTACTTATGGTGAATGCTGCGACATCACATTCCTTCACGAAGACACCTGCAAGGCAGTGTATGCTCTCCAATTTTAAGCTCCAATAAATGACACAAATTGCCCACATAAACTAATTGAAAGCTACTCAAGAATGAACCTTTTATATTTCCGTCTCCATAAATTTTGATCTCGTCCCTTGGAGGTGCCTTGAGCTCCGGTTGAACCAGGGATGGAAGTAAACAGCTCATGAAAAAGTTGCAAGATACGAAGGTATAAGGAATGCCTTCAGCCTCCACAAGACGCCTTATTTGGGCCTTCCTTGAGTAGAAGTTGTAGTCCATGCCAGATATGTGAACCTTGTCTGGGTCCAAACCAAATTCCGAAGGAATAAACCTCTGCAAAAGGAGAATTAAGCTTTCTTCGTTTCACCTTAACAAAATTTTCAGCATTTTGCATTCAACTTCTCCTCCCACAATGTACATCGATATATTCTTTGGCATTAAACATTACTGCCGAAAGAAGAATGCAGTGCCACGCTTTACTTCCCAGTAGAGTCATATATATCTGATCCAGTGTCATTACCTATTAGTTAGTCAGAAACTACATTGCATTTCCATGTTTGCATCATAATTTGTGTAATTGTCTCTATATATAATATTTCCAATTTAGGGATCAAAACAAAAATGAACCTAAAAGCTGAATTCAAGACATACTACACTGTCTATTCAGACTCATTAGTCAAGAATCAGTATATGTTATTGGGTTGCCTTGGCCTAGCTTATGGCATTTTGTTCAATACAGAATGTCCCTACAAAATATTTTACTCATTGTTCCAGTGTTACCAATCGACATTATCACAATAAAGAAAATTACTTTTTAAGTCAAACCCACCAAAACAAAAAAAGACAAAAAGCGATCAAAGGGGATCAAAGAAAAGATGTTACATTGATAGAGCCAGCTTTCTTGATGGCCTGAATCAGCAGTTTCTGATCTGGGACCTGTGTGGAGCTCACAGCACAAATCACAACATCCACTTTCTTGATTGCTTCAATGAGACTCTCCTCATCTTGCAATGAACCCTGAAACACCCAGTAAGGCAAAAGAAAAAAAAAACACGCAACAAAAACAATATCCCCATGAAAATCAAGAAAGACCGAGCCAAGCAAAACACAACAGAGATCAAGAAGTGGGTACCTTGAGGAGGGTAACACCAGCATCGGAGAGAGACCGGAGCTTGACCAGCTTGTTGGGGTCGGCGAAAGCAGTCTCTCTCACGAGTGCGAAGGTCGGGTGCGAGAAGTTGAGGCTGGCTTTGGCCAATTCGTGGCCCAAGTTCCCGGTCGCTCCGACGATCAAGACTCTGCTTTTCTTGTTGTCCATTTCAGATTCCTGAGCAACCCCACCAAGAATCACTTCTTCGCTCGTTGAGGAGTGTTGCACCCTCACTCTACACTTTATACTCTTACTGTGGCTGTCCACTGCTCAGAATCAAGAGTCCTGTTTGCTAGGAGAAACCTTCGTCTCCTCGTCCCCTCCAAAACCTGAACAGGGCCATTCTCACAGCCATCTTTTCCGAGATGGGGTGATTTAAATTGAAAAAATTATCAAAAAAGTCATAAATTTATTATAATTATGTCAATTCAATACTAAACTTTTTATATTTGTACTAATTCAGTCTATCCGATAAATTTTGGCAGGTTAATGTGATCATTTTTTAAATAAGTTTTTTTTATTTTCTTTATCCTTTTTCTTTTCTTCCTTCTTTTTTTTTCCCTTATAGTGGGTGGACCCTCGCCCACGGCCACACCTCAAGATGGAAGGCGGAGCCATGTCTGAACCCGGCGTCGCCTTGATCCTTCTAGTTGCTTGACGAAATGCCTGACCCATCCCACTCACTTTAGGTAGTAATGCCACCAGAATTCAGTCAACCAGAAGAGGGAGAAGAACACTACAAGTGTCAAAACTTGTGTACGGCGCTCACTTTAGTGCCAAAAGTTTCTTTTGGATCACTTTAGTGCCAAAATTTTTGAAAAATGATCACTTAAGTGTCAACTCCGGTCAGTTTGGCCGGAAATCCGACGTGGCATTTTTTTATTAATTTTTGAAGCCGATGTGGCTCGCCGAAGGTTGAGTCAGCATGTACACATCAAAACGACGTAGTTTAGCATGTACACTTGGATTTTTTTAAATATTATTTTTGAATTTATTTTCTTTTTTCTTTTTCTTTCTTCTTCTTCTTCTACCTTGGGTCACCGCCGGTGACTGGAGGCCGGCCACCGGCCACGGCCGGCCGCCTGGCCTCAGCGACGGCGAGGCCGACCTCGCCGTCGCTGGGTTTGGCGACGGCGAGGTTGACCTCGCCATGGCCGGCGAGGCCGGCCTCACCGTCGGCCGGGTTGAGGCCGGCCTCGCCGGCCGTGGAGGGCCGGCCTCGCCGTCGGCCGGTTGAGGTCGGCCTCGCCGTCACCGGGTTTGGCGACGGTGAGGTCGGCCTCGCCATGGCCGGCGAGGCTCGACCTCGCCGGATCTGGGCGAGGTCGAGCCTCGCACGGCCATGGCGAGCCGGCCTCGCCGCCACCGGGTTTAGCGACGGTGAGACCGGCCTCGCCATGGCTGGGCGAGGTCGAGCCTCACTCGGCCGTGGCAAGGTCGGCCTCGCCGTCGCTGGGTTTGGCGACGTCGAGGTCGGCCTTGCCACTGCCGGGCGAGGCTCGACCTCGCCCAGATCCGGCGTGGTTAAGCCTCGCCGGCCGTGGCGAGCCGGCCTCGCCGTCGCCGGGTTTGGCGACGGCGAGACAGGCCTCGCCACGGCCGGCGAGGCTCGGCGTTGCCCGGAGATCCGGCGAGGTCAAGCCTTGCCGGCCAGTGGCGAGGCCGACCTCGCCGTCGCCAAACCCGGCGACGGCGAGGTCGGCCTCGCCAAACCCGGCTGATGGCGAGGTCGGCCTCGCCACGGCCGGCGAGGCTCGACCTCGCCGGATCCGGGCAACGGAGCCTCGCCGGCCTTGGCGAGGCCGGTCTCGCCGTCGCCAAACCTAGCGACGGCGAGACCGGCCTCGCCACGGCTGGTGAGGCTCGACCTTGCCGGATCTGGGCGAGGTCGAGCGTCGTTCGGCCATGGCGAGGCCGACCTCGCCGTCGCCAAACCCAACGACGGCGAGGTCGGCCTCGCCGTCGCTGAGGCCAAGCGGCCGGCCGCCGGTTACCGGCGGTGACCCAAGGTAGAAGAAGAAGAAGAAAGAAAAAGGAAAAAGAAAAGAAAGAAAAAAATTTCAGAAAAAATATTTAAAAAATCGAATTATATTTCCACGTAGACCGATTTTTTTTTTAAAAATTCCAACTCGTTTTAAAATTTTAATTATAAAAGGCACGTATTAATTTGACCGGAATTTCTCGCCGTTGGCACTTAAGTGATTATTTTTCCTCCGATTTGGCACTTAAGTGAGCCGGCGAAAACTTTTGGCACTAAAGTGAGCGCCGTACACAAGTTTTGGCATTTCTAGTATTCTTTTCCCACCAGAAGATGATGGAGTCTTTCCAACGCACCAATGAAGCCTGTACTCGATCACTTCAACCATCCCACTTAATTTAGGTAGTAATGCCATCAGAATTCAGTCCAAGAAGATGATAGAGTCTCTCCAACGCACCAATGGAGCTTATGCTCAATCACTTCAACCATTCCACTCACTTTAGGTAGTAATGCCACCAGAATTTAGTCCAACAGAAGACGATGGAGTCTTTCCAAACGCACCAATGGACCTTATACTCAATCACTTCAACCAAAAAGATCAGGGCTTTTGGCTGCAGAGAGAGAGAAGAGGGGGGGGGGGGCGGCGCCTTGAACGGGAGATTTGCAAGCCAGGGCTTTTGGCTGCAGAGAGAGAGAGAGAGAGAAGGCGGCGCCTTGAACGGGAGATTTGCAAGCCAGGGCTTTTGGCTGCACAGAGAGAGAGAGAGAGAGAAGGCGGCGCCTTGAACGGGAGATTTGCAAGCCACGTGGGTTCACAGTTGGTCGCCGCCTCGCTAGGGCCTCGCCCACGGCCGACAAGGCCATGGCGAGGCTAGCCACGCCCAAATCTGGTCGAGGCCGGGTGGGCAGCGAGGGCTTTGTAGCCTTTGCCTGGTGGCTGACGAGCCTTGCCAAAACCTCGCCGGCCATTGTGGACATAAAAAGAAGGAAGAAAAAGAAAAGGAAACTAAAAATTAATAAAAACTAAAAAAAATATTTAAAAATTACCACGTCAACATCATTCGGAATGAAATTTAACTTAACAAAACCGAACACTGTCCTCAGGGAATGCTTGTCGTGAGGCATCGACAATTGTATTTTTTAGCTCATTCATAATTACCAACAAAAGATGCAATTAAAGAAACTAGGACAGTCAACTTCATCAAGTGTCGTGACATGGGATGTTGTACTGGCTAGATAATGCGCGCAGGAGGACCTTTCGAGCAAAACACTCGTACAGACCACACGTTTTTTGGTCCTACATATCTCGGAGCCCAATCGCAGGAACACAGATCCAGAGTTATTCAGGAAACTCCTGCCGAGCCTGCAGAGAGAGAGAGAGAGAGAGAGAGAGAGAGAGAGAGAGAGAGAGAGAGAGAGAGAGAATGGAGGAGCGTAGAGGTGAAGAAGTGGAGGGGGTGACCGTGAGCAACAAGCAAGTGATCCTGAGAGACTTCGTGAATGGGTTTCCGAGGGAAGATGACATGGAAGTGAGAAGGAAGGAGACGAAGCTCAGAGTTCCTCGGGGATCGTGCGCAGTCGTGGTGAAGAATCTCTACTTGTCCTGCGATCCTTACATGCGCCTCCTCATGACGCCAAACCTCCTCAACAGATTGCTCCCTTCTTACACTCCCGACTCTGTAAGTGAGCTCAATCTTACACTCTCCGGCTGAGGAATGTCTAGGTTGTTACACTTTAATTTGGCCCTTCTTTGCTGGAAGAGCTATCCTTAGATGAATCTGGTCCTATGAGCCCGGTTCATTACACCTTCCGGATCATGTGGGCCCCACGTGGCTTGTAGTTGGGTTGGACCGGATGAAGCTGCGTCGGCATAATTCCATGTTCGAGATCCTCGACTCAAAATATTCAAGACTCGACTCAGTCCAGCTCAACCTCGGCTCAAATAGTACAAGAAACTTAAATTAAACATGCAAGTTTTAATAAGTTTTTTTTAATATTATTCCCATCTACGTACATATGTACATGCTTGGTTATTCGATTATGCTTGCCAACTACGGGATTCAAGTATTTTCAAACTCATGCTTGTCATGATTAAGAACTGCTCTTGAACTCAACTCTAACGAATCAAGCCTGCGAGCAAACTCGAACAGGTTATAAGTAGTTAGCTGGACTCGCTGTCACTCTTAAGCAGGTGCACATGCTCCCGAGCCAAACCAAGGAAATCACTTACAAGTTTCAAAGAACATTGAGAGAGAAATTAAAGAGAAACATGCTCTAAAAGAATCATTGATCTTACTCTGAACTCCACAATTTAGTGAGTCCCTAAAACGGAAAACAAACCGTGAACACCTAAAAATGGTTTTGCAGCTCATGTAGAATATAAAGCCAACATTCGAACACATTCATAGTTCATTGAGGCTGATGTTTGAATGCAGCCTATAACTGGGTCTGGGGTGGCCAAAATTGTGGACTCGGGCATCCCAGAATTCAAAGTGGGCGACTTAGTTTATGGCACGACAGGATGGGAAGAGTACAGCCTCATCACCAGTCCTCAAGGCCTCTTCAAAATCGAGCACACAGATGTGCCTCTTTCTTACTACACTGGCATTCTTGGTAATAAGTTAATTAATTCAAATCTCTATTTGTTTGCTGGTGAAGAATCATGCACATCAGTTGTGCATCAATTACCTGATTTTGTTGGGCATCTTTTTGTTAGGTATGCCTGGGCTGACCGCCTATGTCGGCTTCTACGAGGTGTGTTCCCCTAAGAAAGGAGAGTACGTCTTCGTATCGGCGGCGGCCGGTGCAGTTGGACAGCTCGTGGGACAGTTCGCAAAGTTGATGGGATGTTACGTTGTCGGTAGCGCTGGAAGCAAAGAGAAGGTTCGCCAATTTTATCGTGTTTCAAACTGTGAATGGGCCTCACGAGTTTGGCGGGGCTAAATCTAAGAATTCATTAAAAGCTGTTTTGCATTCTTTACTTCGAAGCTATAGAGGAGAGTCTCACTGTAAGAAAGTAGTGCATTTCTCACTCATATTGCTCTCTTTTTGGCCCCACACACAGGTTGATTTGTTGAAGAGCAAGTTTGGTTTCAACGACGCATTCAACTACAAAGAGGAGCGCGATCTCAATGCAGCTTTGAAGAGGTTAGTAGGCAGGAGACATGTCCAAAAACCTTATGCAGAATCAACGTGTGCTTTTGTTGGTGGCTTGATACCCAAAATGTCCAAAGACTCTATGCAGAAACATGCCCTTAATAGCTAAGATCTGACACTAAGGTTGCTGTAAATAGCTGCAATATAAAGAGATCATAAATAAGATTACAGAGTTGCCGTAACAATTTGTATATTTTAAACTGTTGGCAGATATTTTCCCCAAGG